TGGCTGCTTCTTGCTCTGACTGAGGGCTGCTGGGAGCAGGGGGTGGGGCTCGTTGCATGTGCCCGCCCCCCGGGCTCTTTACTGCCGGAACTCCGCTCCTGTGCGCTCCTGCAGGAAATGACCCCTGTATGGCCAGTAACATAAAGTAGAACATAACAGACAGGCTTAACTAATTATACACTCTATACTTGTCTCCCTAGGAAGACCTTTCCTTCCAGGCTTCCCTTTAACCCCTGAACCAGGAACTACAATTGTGTCCTCCTTGGTGTAATTTGGGGGTAATATGAAAATGTCTGCAGTAATAGTTCAGCAAAATCTTAATACAACCTGCTGCCCAAGGCCAAGGGAGCCCCTTTCCCATTTGAATCACCCACAGCTGTATTATTCATTATTATTACCACTGGTGTATACTAGACCCCGCAAGAGGAGCCTAATCAAAATGCCAAAACCCCGGAAAAAGTACAAAACTTGCCCCGTGGCAGGTTTGCTGAATGAGGGAGCAAGAATGAGCAAGATGGAGAGGCTTGGGTGAGATTATGTTGGACTGATGCTTTGGGGGGGGGTTAGTATGAGATTTACGAGGGACCAACAAAATCTGGCGGAAAGGTGAAGGTAGAACAAACTCAGCTATTGCTCAAGCTGCTTAGCTTTCCAAGGAAAGAATTTTGTCAACAGAATAGTCAAACATGCAACACAGTATATAAGAAGGGTAAAAAGATGAGCAGGATTGGAGAAGAATACAGGAAGACCTGAGTCTATGGCAAGATTCTCCACTGCCCATGAAAGGGGGTGTAGGAACAGTTCTGAATCATTAGGGTGCATCTATGGGCGGAAGACCGGAGGGCCTGGAGGGAGCTGGTCCATGGGGTCGCAAAGAGTCGGACTCGACTGTGCGACTGAACAACAACAACAACATGGGCGGCTTATCAGGAAGTAACGAACAAGTTGGAAAAACAAGAACATGTAGGTAAAGATAATGGATAAAGGGCGAGGCGCCGCCTGATCTTAAAAAAGCAGCTTTGCAAAAACGCTACGTATCAAGAACGCAAGCTGGAAGGGGACGGGGCATGCGAGGGTGGGGTATACAAGGGGTGGTAGTCAGATTGTGAGGGAGGCACCTAATCGGGTGCCTCAGTCAGGGAGATAGAAGAAGGGAATGCCTTAAATTGAGCTGTGCTGTGCCACAGACCGCAGAGGTGACGGGTGGACTGCCTATCCGGCCTCTCCGTGCTTGACGTTGAATAAAACCGCCTTTGATCGACCCTCCCGTGAGAAGTCTCCTGCTTGACTCGGTGTCCGGTCTCTTCCACGTAACACCCAGATAGACGTGTGTGGACGCAGGAAAATCCCCAGCTGGACAAAGACATTCTCTGATTTAAGAAGTGGTAAGGCTTACAAGCGGGGGGACCACAAGACTTGGAGGGTCTCATTTCCCCCTCTCCCTCTATTTTCTTTCCCTTTTTCCTGCTTCCTTCTCTCCTTCTCACCCACCAGCCAACCTACCTTCATTTGTCTCCCACCCAATTTTCAGCTTTCCTTCCTTCCCCTCTCCCTGGCAGCCTCTACCCAGCAAAACCTTAGCCCCATTGGGTGACGCCGTTCAATGGGGAACCTGCAAGGACTTGCAGAGGGCACCTCATTTCCCCCTGTATTCCCTTCTCCACATAATTTTCTCTTCCCCTCCTGGTCATGCCCACACCTTCACCTTTCCCTTCTTCCTTCTCTCCTTCCCACCCACCAACAAACCCAACTTTTATCTGCTCTCCCATCTATATCTATATGTATTATGTATTGACCTCACGTTTCTCCACATGGCAACCCAAAGGAACCAGTTTGGTGTAGTGGTTAAGTGTCTAATCTGGGAGAGCCGGGTTTGATTCCCCACTCCTCCACTTGCACCTGGCTGGATGACCTTGGGCAAGCCATAGTTCTGATAAGAGCTGTTCTTGAAAAAGAGCAGTTTCTGTCAGAGTTCTCTCAGCCCCACCTACCTCACAGGGTGTCTGTTGTGGGGAGGGGAAGGGAAAGGAGTTTGTAAGCCGCTCTGAGACACCTTTGGGTAGTGAAGGGCGGTATATAAATCCAATCTCTTCTTCTTCTTCTTACATCCTCCTTCTTGTCTCCATTTCCTCCTCAAATTAACGTTGTGAGGTAATTTAGCCTGAGAATGTGCAACTGGCCCAAGGTTACCCAGTGAGCTTCCGTGGCAGAATGGTGATTCAAGCCTGGGTCTCCCTCATCCTAAAACCCTAAGTACGAGACTACGCTGGCTTTTGTGGGGTGGCTGCAATTTCATGGTAGCAAGTTGCCTCGTGGCTTATACCCGAGCTGATCCTGGTAAGTTCTCTCTGAAAGGCCAAAACAGCCCTGGAAACAGCCCTCTCCGTGTATTTAACTGACAGAACCCAAGGCTTGAAGGCTGGCAATGCTGTTGTGGTTTCCAAGCAATGGCCACTGAGGGCATTTGTTTCTTAAAGCTACAAGTGTGGCTTCTTTACACTGGGGGCAATACTGTTGCGGTTCCCTAGCAATGGCCACCGAGGGCCTGTTTCTTAAAGCTATAGGTGATGCTTCTATTTTGTGGGAGAGATCTAATCCTCCAGGTTTATTTTTTTTTCTTTTTGCTTTTTAAATGTTTTCTTAGCTTTTAGGATTTTCTGCAAACCTTGGGCATTTTTCAAGTTTATAGAAAGATCTCTCTTGTCTGTTCGTGGCTCCCATTTCTGGATTTAAGCATTCCCAGGTTTGCCCGTGCTGAGAATTAGACACACATTGATTTGTGACTGAACAGTAAAAACACAGATGTAGCAATCTACAGACTCTGGTTTCTTCTGTCTTTAAAGTCCTTGCCCTGTTGAACACACTGCCCAGGGAAATGTCTGGTGATGCATGGTGTGCAATAATAAATTACAAGCAAAAACTGCATCCATCCCCAAAAGGGGAAATCACAGCATAGAAAAATCAACTTTTTTTTCTATTCAAAACTCACTCTTCTTGCTTGGGGAAGCCTCCCAAAAGGAAGGCTGAATGCAGAATGTGCAAAGGAGCACGTGGTATCCGTGGTTCCTCTTTGTCTTGCATTAGACAAGAATGGTCGGTGTTGCTCTCAGGTACTTTGATATGTTTTCCTACAGCTGAAGTCCCGGGAAAAACACCCGATGGTGCAAAAAAGTTATTCTAACTGATAACCTGCCCTGCATTCGTCGCAAACTGTCTTTCCTGCAATTGATCCAACAGTCGCTGCTCTTGACGCCAGCGTTGAGAACCTGCCAGCATCTCTCCAAAATCTTCTTTTAGACACAGTTTTGTCCCTGTCAACTCCCTGCGTAAGTAATTGCCAAACCTTGGTGACAAACTGGGCAAGGAAGGGGAATGGAGGTGCAATGTGATATATGGAAAAGTTATGTGGTCTCTGCCAGAGCTGTATCAGGCTCACCAGCTTGTGGAACGCATCATGGCATGCACAGTTTGGGCCTGGGACCATGCCTGCAATGACAAATAAGCGGTGAGTTTTCCTCAATTTCTGCATGCATAGTGCCTTCCAAGGATCAGGATGACAGTACATAAGGAGAAGAGGATTCCCCCTCCCTCCCCCCCCCCCTTGCCATTTTCCCAGCTTAACCAATTCCAGGATATATTATTGGTGGGGAAACCAATACGTATCCCAGGGACCACATGTTTTTCCCCCCCAAATACTGTCTCCCTGGGATTGTTTCGTGTTGGGGAAACGACACAAGGGGGAAGGCTTAAACCCCTCCTCCCCATCCACTGTGGTCCTGATGCTGATCGGACACCACACACACACAAGGGGTGAGGAGAACCCACAACTCACATGTGATCATGACAGGCACAAGTTGGGGACCCAGGTTCCTTTTGCATCCTCCATAATGTGTGGAGAGGATTCTGGCTCCTCTAAATGACCAGTATTCTTTTGTGACTTCAACTCCTTTGCAGTTATGAAAGTGCTAGAAGCCATCTCTTTTACTAGAATTTTGCAGAGGAAGATCGGGCCATCTTCCTGAGCTGCTGTTGCTCAAGAAGAAGAAGAAGAAGAGATTGGATTTATCCCCTGCCCTTCACTTGGAGTCTCAGAGCGGCTTACAAACTCCTTTCCCTTCCCCTCCCCACAACAGACACCCTGTGAGGTGGGTGGGGCTGAGAGAGCTCTGACACAAACTGCTCTTTCAGGAACAGCTGTGCCAGGGCTTGTGACTGACCCAAGGTCACATCAGCAGGTGCAAGTGGAGGAGTGGGGAATCAAACCCGGTTCTCCAAGATTAGAGTCCGCACACTTAACCACTACACCAACTGGCTCAAAACTGCAAGGACCAAGTTTGACGTGTAAAATTGGAATGCTATATCCGAACCTTGTGATTAGAGTCATAACCTTTTAGAGAGATTCCATACAAAACACGATCCTCCAGAATACACATTTAATACAAATTTTAAATTCTTTAGACCTTCTTATCTAAGGATATGAATGAAAGTAGTAAGGGAGCAGGATTTTGTACACTGCCACCACCCATGTACTGGGTATATTCAGTGAGAGAGTGGAACAGAGTCTGCGTGCATGTTTATGCACATGCACCAGTTTCTCTGCACCTGATATGGGATTCAGGGTTGCAAATGAATGGAATTTTATTACGGCATCCAGCCAGATTAATCCAAACACCCCACCAAGGGCCACAGGGATTCAGGATGTTTGATCACAGATATTTGCACACCTGTAGGTTCTCCACACCCACAGTGTTCCGAGAGTGCAGAAAGCCCGGCTTATCTGTGGTTGACCATTTCATTGCCCTGCTGCTAAGAACGGGACCATTAACTGTGCCACTAAGGAGCAGTTGTTTTCAGTATATGTACAAGTAATTTTCTTAACCTGTTGTAATAATCTGTTTCCCTGTCAACCAGGAAGAGCTCTTGATTCCTTTTGCATACCCTTCTGATCTAATTAGATACATCATTATTCTTGTTTCCTAGGAGAGAACACCATGCCCAAAATAGTCCCCAAAAGCAAAGCTCCAGGAGCCGATTTCTGCGGGGTGGATAAATATTATTACATTGTCCGCTCCGACCTGGACTGCTACATGAGGTCAACCAATTTCAATCACGGCAATGACCTGGAAGTGTTCAGCCTGCACAATTCTTGTCAGGGTGGAGACCACTACTTAGCCCATGAGGACGGCCTATTCTACATCATCAAAGGAGACCACTATCGCCGCGTCAGTAACATGAACAAGGATGACAATGCTGTCGTGTACAGCCTCCACCCCAACTGTCAAGGAGGGGACCATTACCTCTCTGCCTTTGGACGCTTCTACATTATTTTCCAGGGCAGAGGCATTTACCACAGGGTCACTAATATGAATACAGATGAAGATGCAATTGAATATACCCTTCACCCCGATTGCCAGAATGGCCTTTATTACTGGGGCACCAAGGATTACTACTACTTTGTAAAACCTCACGATGAATGGGGTATCCAGTATTTTAGGTGCACCGATTTCCACCGAAACCTAGACGCTGTTACCTATTCCTTCCATGGGAGCGTGGTCGCCTTTATCCCTGGAGGGCTGGCCATTAACGAAGGTCCAGCTTTTGGTCGATGGGAGGCGATCAAGACCATCTCCAACGACTCCGACAGTCCCATTGAATGGAACAAGAAGATCACGAAGAAGGTGGGATGCAAGAAGATGAAGATGAGCAGTGTGGAGCAGAACTGGAAAATAAACATGAAAGCCTCGTACGAGTCAGGAGGCCTCGCCGAAGCCATTGCCAAGTACCAGTTCTCCCTCTCTGTCGAATACGGAGGAAGAGCCGTCCAAACCCAGCAGGAAGACTGGAGCGAAGCCACGGAGGTGGAAGAATCTATTCATGTGACCCTGCAGCCCGAAAGCCAGATGTACATATGGCAGTACCGTTTGGGCTTCGGCAACGAGCCTGTCTTGTTCTGCCGGGACATGAAGTTTACGAATGATTCCACTCCACCCACAAGTGTTCCTCTGCCACCTTCGAATGAGTAATGGAGGAAGGTCAGGACTGCCTAAAGGTTTGCTCTCTGTCAGTTGCATTTAGTAAAATTTGGGCTGATAAATTATTAGGGATCCGTAGAAATCTCACAAGCTTAGGATACACTTTAGCTGTTAGGTAAATAGAGAAAGCCAAGCTAAACATTAAGTTGGGGTATGATTTTTTTTTTAATTATTATTTTGACCGTTGTCTAATTCTTGAGTGCTTCTCGCTGTCCTGCGTAGTATGAAGACCCAGAACCATCACTCCTCAAGTCTGGTTTCCTTCTGATTAGAGGCTTCCCATTCCTTCATGATATTTCCGGTATTTACACTTATGCAGGAAGGCAAAGTGGTGTGGTGCAGGTGTACAGTCCAGCAGGGGTCATTTCGTAGAAAAAGAGGTGCAGGAGCTCATTAGCATAACTCATTAGCATAACATATTTGCATATGCCACACCCCCTGACATCACCGGAAGTGTGTCAGAAGGCAACACCCACCGCTTAGGCTCCACTGGACAGTTTTGGATTGCTAGCTATTGTGTGTGTGGGGGGGGAACGTGCAGATCTGTCCTCGCAGAGGAGGGAGAGCTTGTACCTGAATAAAACTTGGTCTTAAAGGTGCCACGGGACTGTTTTGGACTGGGGGGCCGGGGGGGGGCTCTGCAACTTACCTGGCTGCTTCTTGCTCTGACTGAGGGCTGCTGGGAGCAGGGGGCGGGGCTTGTTGCATGTGCCCGCCCCCCGGGCTCTTTACTGCCGGACCTCCGTTCCTGTGCGCTCCTGCAGGAAATGACCCTGCAGTCCAGTCTCCATATACATCATCCCGATAGACCGATAAATGTTCTCCCCCTCCACACATGCCTTGTTTGCCAAATTTTTCCTTCTGTAACCTTTAGTTTGTTACTGTGTTGGTCAGCAAATAAAATTAAACCAAGTATTTTTGGACAAGAAACATAGGGTGGTGTATACTTCATACTTATTCTTTTGAGAAACCCTGTCGAACTGTAAGATTCTTTATACATACATTTTCAAAGCATGAATGCCTTGTGGCCCCCTAACCCAGAGTTATTTGGGAGACATTTAGGCACAGCTGCCCCATACGGTGTCGAAATTCCTGGGTTTCATTTCAGTCCAAGCCTGAGGCCCTGGGACAGCTGCTGCTGGTCTGAGTAAACAGTACTGACCTTGAAGGACCAATGGTCTTGTTCAGCAGAAGGCCGCTTCTGGCCTATTGGGGAATTGATTTGAAAAAACAAACAAACCATGGAGCATTTGGGTGACCACAATCAAAGAATCCATACTAGCTGAGCGTGTTTGTGGGGGGTTGTACTTCAAAGAAAATAATTTCTCTCTCTCTCTCTCTCTCTTGGGAAGCGGAATGTCTTGGCTGGTCCAAAAGAACCAGGGCCTACTACATTGTAAAGCCCAAACACTTCTCAGTAGGACATTCCCCCCCCCCCGAACTCTCTCATATTAAGTAAGTTAGAAGAGTCAACATTCTGTAACCAGAATGCCAGTGTGGTGTAGTGATTAAGAGCTCCGGATTCTAATCTAGAGAACCAGGCTTGATTCTCCACTCCTCTTCCACATGAAGCCAGCTGGGTGGCCTTGGGCCAGTCTCAGAACTCTCTCAGCCCCACCTACCTCACAAGGTGCCAGTTGTGGAGAGAGGAAGGGAAGGAGATTATGAACTGCTTTGAGACACATGAGGCCTGCTGGGTGGCCTTGGGCCAGTCACAGCTCACTCACAGCTCTCTCAGCCCCACCTGATTCACAAGGTGCCAGTTGTGGAGAGAGGAAGGGAAGGAGATTATGAACTGCTTTGAGACACATGAGGCCTGCTGGGAGGACTTGGGCCAGTCACAGCTCTCTCAGAGCTCTTTCAGCCCCACCTGCCTCACAAGGTGCCAGTTGTGGAGAGAGGAAGGGAAGGATATTATGAACTGCTTTGAGACACATGAGGCCTGCTGGGAGGCCTTGGGCCAGTCACAGCTCTCTCAGAGCTCTCTCAGCCCCACCTACCTCACAAGGTGCCTGTTGTGGGGAGAGGAAGGGAAGGCGATTGTAAGGCACTCTTGCGTCTCCTTAGTGTACAGAAAAGCAGGTATAAAAACCAACTCCTCTTACTATCTTCATACCATTATATTGCTAGGACAGTTTCCAAATTGAAATACACACATACCCCATTTTGAAGGGAAAGCAGCAGAGAGGCTTGGTGGGAAAGAAAATAGCTTTTCCCCATAGGGCTACAATTAGGGTTGCCAGCTTCAGGTTGGGAAATAGCTGGAGATTTGAGGGGTGGAGGCCTGAGGAGGGCGAGGAGACAGGAGGCCCCTCAGCAGGGAAGAATGCCATACAGTCCACCCTCCAAAGCAGCCATTTTCTCCAGGGAAACTGACCTCTGGAGATCAGTTGTAATAGCAGGAGATCTCCAGGTGCCACCTGGAGGGTGGCAACCCTATTAATGAAAAGTTGTGCTTGTGAAAACATCCACTCAAAACTTACAGACGGCTTATCTAATTCCAGCCCTCAAAGAATGAGGAGATATTATACCACGGACAGCAGGTGGGAGGACCATCAACTTTGGCAGCAAGTAATGAAATGTTTGCTTCCGTGTTTAATGACAAACAACCAAAAGAAAGTTTGGTGTCCCCACCCCAACACCCCCACCCCAAACAAAAACCCAACACCTGAAATTTTCACACTATTTTCTCTTTCCCATTTAGGAAAGAGATTTATTGTCTTAAAACCAAACCCTTTCCAGGTTCCGGCCTGGAATGTCCTCCTTTTCGAACCCTGAGTTCAGCATAAAGCAGTGTCTGCATTCAGTCCTGTCCCCTCCGTTCCCTCGCAGCCGCTGTCAGGGGGGTGACCCACAGAAAGTGATCAGGTATTCGGGGTAGGCGTGGTCATCAAAGAAAGTCACGAAGGTGGCTGGCTTGCTGAGGACATCCACCAGACTGTCATACCGGCCTTTCCCCCCGGGCTTCATGGGTGGGAGGACCATCTTTTCTCCCCCGCCCGTGTACTCTCCGGTCAGGACTCGAGTCTGGAACACAAACCGGTGCCCCTCGGAATCGGGTTTGGCGTAGAAAGCAGAACGGTCGGCATTCTTTGCAAAATAAATGCCCTGGCCGTAGAGGCCCACTACAAAGAAACAGAAGCGAGAGAGAGGATCACACATTTGGGCATGGCCAGAGCAGAGCCAGCTACGGGTTTGAGGAAAGGTGCAGGGGAACAGCTGTAGACCATATCGCTACACCCTATAAGAAGGGTGCTCGACATGGTGCCCACGAGTACTGTGATGCCTGCTGACACCGTTCCTGGTGTCTACCAAGTGTTTTTAGAATATAGACAGGGCCAGGTAGGGCTTTTGCCCAGGAGGTCTTCTGATTGGCCTTTGGAGACTGGCTGCCACCACCACACAAATATCTTGAATGCGTAACTGAGGGTTAGTTGTGCATATGCAAGACAATGTTTTCAAACAATATGTTTGTGTTTAATGGAATCCTGTTAAGCAGAACTAGTGGGGTTACGCATGACCTCTGTCCCCTTCTGTGCCTGGCTCTGCCTCTTGTGGCAGCCATTTTGTAGCGGTGTCCACCATCCGACGCTAAAATTCCAAAAATGCCCCCAGGCTGAAAAAGGTTGGGGGCTCCAGCCCCCCATAAGGCAGTGTTAAGAGCTGCTTTTGGACATTTCCAATTGCTGTCTCTGTCTGTCTTTGTAGGTAGTGATTAGCCTACAACTTGGGAGACCTGTGTTCCAATCCCTGCTCAGCATTCTGTCACCCTAAACTACCTTGCAGAGTTATTGCGAAGGTAAAGTGGAGAGGAGAACCACATATGCCACATACAAAAGTGACAAAACTGTGACAAATGAACAGAAAGTGCTCTTCGTGTTTCTCGGCTTCCCAGCCCCTGGAGAAAAGTATAAAATGGACATTTAGAATAGATACTTCCTGAAGATATATTTTTTTTTAACAACTCAACTGCAAATGAGTGCAAAAGCGGATTTTTACTAGCTGGTAGAGGGGTGGAACCCCAGAGTGACTCTGCTCTATAATCTGTATGCAATGCAACACGAGGAAGGAAACTGAAACTCTACACGTGAACAACTTTGCTTGTAGCTGGATCAGCCGGCCACACAAGATCTGAGCTCACCTCCATTGGATAGAAGTTCAGAGACCAAAGGGCGCACAGAGTCCCTGACAAGCTCTCTATCTTTATGAACATAAGAACATAAGAGATGCCAATGTTGGATCAGGCCAAAGGCCCATCCAGTCCAACACTCTGTATCACACAGTGGCCAGAAATACCAGTGCCATCAGGAGGTCCACCAGTGGGGCCAGGACATTAGAAGCCCTCCCACTGTTGACCCCCCCAAGCACCAAGATGACAGAGCATCACTTGCCCCAGAGTCCCTCTCAATACCTTATTGCTAATAGCCACTAATGGACCTCGGCTCCATATGCCTATCTAATTCCCTTTTGAAGCTGTCCATGCTTGTAGCCGCCACCACTTCCTGTGGCAGTGAATTCCAAGTGTTAATCACTCTTTGGGTGAAGAAGGACTTCCTTTTATCCGTTTTAACCCGAGAAGCCCTTGTCTCTCTTTGGCATTGGCAGAACTCTAGGCCAACCGCCTCCTCCGTGCCTACCCCAAACATAGTATTCTCCTCCCGCTGCCTTCTACCCTCCCCTCTCAGGCCTTCTTCGAGTAGCCCTTCCAAGAAGAGAGTGCAAGAGTGATAGGGACACACAAGCCAGTTTCTCCCTCCTGCCCCTTAACAAAAAATAATGAGTTGTCAGTCGGTCTCAGACCCTTCCGAGGATCCTTTCCATTTCTGGTCTCAGCTGGTCCCGGAGTCTGGGGCCTGAGTGAGACTTCGCCAGCCTAGCTTACCCTTCCTGCAGGCACTCTTGAAACCAATCTCTTGAATGGAACGCGAGTTCTCCGGGCACGTCCCATGGTAGAGGATCCGCTCATTCTGCACCCCTTCCGGATTCTTCTTATCCATCCAGCTGCGTTTCCAGCAATAGGACACCCACAGGTAGCGATTCTGGATTCTCTCCACCTGCGTGGGACCCACAGGGAGATGGGTGGGTGGTTTGCTCTGATGTATTTATGTGCACTTCAGAGAGCAGGCGGCATAGTGGAAATCACCTCGAAAAGGCCAAAGTAAGCCACAATTGGTGGATTCCCACGTTGTCCCCAAAGCTGCATGGAAATGGCAGTTCAGGAACTGGGCGTGACATCAGTTTAGTTTTTGGCCCAATCTGCATCTAGCCTTTGCTCCGCTGTTTTACCAAACACACACTGGAACAGAAATCCCCCTCTGCGTTGCATGCCACTTTCGCTCTGATTGATTGTCGGATTTTGTGGCAGTGTCCAGACTTTCACTTTGTTGGATCTCTCGGCTTTATGGCAGCCATCTGCATAGATTTACGGCCGTTTTATGGCCATTCAGGGGTGACTCTGCAGTCAGTATGGCGTTGACCCCGGGGTGTCTGAATGTGGTTTTGAGCCCCATCTTTTTCTGTTCCAGTGTGGGTTTGGTAAAACAACGGAGCAAATGTTCGATGCAGAGTGGGCCTTTGGGGGCATTCGTTCAGGAAGAGAACTCATGCTTTGCAGGCAGGATAGGGTTGCCAAGTCCATCTTCCACCCCCAGCGGGGGACTTCGGGGGCGTTCCTGGAGGGGGTGGGGCATCCCCAACGTGATGACGTCACGTTGGGGACGTCTGCCGCCCCCGCACCCGCCCGTGCGCCGGATCTCCAGAAACGCAGGTTTCCCTGCACTTAAAGTAGCCGGCAGCCGGCGTTTCCCCTTTAAGAGCAGCTGCGTTTCCCTTTTAAGAACGAAGCTGGCTTTCCCCTGCAAGCTTGCGGAGTTTGCGCTTGGGATGAAACACGGGTTGCACACACTTAAAGGGAGAGAGATGGGTGGCTGTGGGTGTTGGGCTTCCCCCCAAAACGGAGGACCCCTGGCAAACCGGGGGGTTTGGCAACCCTAAGGCAGGAGGGTCCAACTTCATTCCCTGGCATCTCCAATGGAGACTCCATCTGCATATTAAAAACCTCAGGCTGGGGGAAACAACATGAAGGTCCTGCAGTGTCTTCCCTCCGAGATGCCTGGTGGCTCTTTTCTGTTTGTGACCACAGCATGCAGGAAGAGGCGGTATTAGACTCTAGTCTAGCCACTTCTGTTTTCCCATCCGCAAACTGCCACAGCAGGCTTGAAAACAGCAGTGGGGGAAGAGGTTAAAGCTGCTTCTCCCTACGTGCTGTGGACACAAACGGAATAATAATTGATTAATATTGTATGGCATTGTGTGTAGTAAAGTCAGGAGATCCTAAGATAGTCTGGTGGGCCAGACGTTCTAGCTCTTTTAGTGTTATGCACCACTAGGTGGTGAGCCAGACTTGTTTTTAAGGCAAGAGATGCTTCAGAGGTGGTTTGCCATTGCCTGCCTCTGTGTCACAACCCTGGAATTCCTTGGAGGTCGCCCATCCAAATACTAGCCAGGGCCGACTCTGCTTAGCTTCCGAGATCTGATGGGATCGGGCTATCCAGGTCAAACAGAAAAGAGGCACTGTGCGTCTGGGAGACTCAGGGCTCTTTTTGTAGAAAAAGCCCAGCAGGAACGCATTAGCATAATAGGCCACACCCAACAACAGAAACTCATTAGCATATCCAGCCACACCCACAAAAGCATAACTCATTAGCATATTAGGCTACACCCCCATGTTACCAGAAGGATAGTCATCCAGCCACACCCACCTTTTGCTTCTTATTCTGTTTACCTTGTTTGTGGTCAAAACCCAGGGCTTTTTTTGTAGCAGGAACTCCTTTGTATGTTAGGCCACACACCCCTAATGTAGCCAATCCTAATGAGTTTCTGCTGTTGGGTGTGGCCTATTATGCTAATGAGTTCCTGCTGGGCGTGGTCAACTTGGGAGCCAGCCGGAACTCTGTTCCTGTGCGTTCCTGCCCAAAAATAGCCCTGGGGAGACACAAAACTCCCATCGCCTTTGGGATCGCAAAGTCCTCTTTTGACTTTAAAACAAAGCTCCTCCTCCTTAACGTGAGAGTTTCTGACGCAATCGTGGCTCACTTTTAGAATTTTGAAGCCACCGCCAGTCCGAATGAAATTCTTTACAATGTCCTGATATTCTTCCGAGCTTTTCTGGAGTTCCACTTTCTTCACCAGACACTGATCCATAGCTTCCCAGTGCGGGGCGATATTCTTGTCTGCAACGAGAGCAACATTTTATTTTTATTTTTTATTTATTTGGGATTTATATCCCGCCCTACCCAAATGGCTCAGGGTGGCTGGCAAGCGGCAATGCCGAATAAAAACAATAAAACAATGTTATATACATAATAAAATTCGGTGCCCTACTATTCTACATTAAATCCCCCAAGATATGCAACATCCCACATTGATAGCCACTTTTATTAAATGGCGTGAGTGCCAGGAGTGATATTTTTCCCATCTCTTTTTCCCAGGGTGGCATCTACTCCCCCCAGTAATAGGGGGTAGATGATAAGATGGTATCTCAGTGGTGGAATAGTGGCGGCGGCGGCGGCTCCTACTCAAAAGCCTGGCGGAAGAGCTCCGTCTTGCAGGCCCTGCAGAACTGTATAAGCTCCCACAGG